TGCTGAATCTGGTCTCCTCTGCAACCTTGTCACCTCCCTGCTTAGATCCTCTGACCACTCTCTCCCTTTTAGCACCAGGGCATCTCCATCTCTGGTGACTGTGACTGGACCAGACACTGACACCAATTTGAGCGTGACCTTGCACACATCATGACTCCACACTCCAACTCCTCCCTTTGCACACCTAAAAGTTCACCTTTTCTCCAAAACAGCCCCAAAACTCTAAATGCTCATCACTGCACTGTGATTCGGGTTGGATCATCAAGAGGAACATGTGTTGGGTTCAAACCCTCTTGCACTGGAGGTCCCCCATACAGAGGACTGACTGTACCCACCAGGAGAAGCCATGGGTAGCTCAGAGACTCCTCCAGGTTCAGCCACAGCAGATCTTTAAGCTTTGCACTGGGGCTTCCCAGTTCCTTTGCAGCGTGTTCCTCCATCCAGAGCCTGCTCTGCACCCTGCCAGGTGGGCACATACATCCCCCATCCAAACACATCACCCCTCTGCAACTTGCAGCATCCTCCTGGGAAGTCCTCGCTCACCAGGGATGAAGCCCGTTGGGTTGACCACCACGATGATGTAGACCTGCAGCAGGAGGTGAGGCAGGGTCTGCAGCAGGGCTTCCAGGAGCCGTAGAACACACACGTCCCCATGCTGCATCAGCACCTCCTCAGCACAGGCATTGCCCCCCGTCATTGTCACCATCCGCAAAACATCCCAGTACCTGCAAGAGTCACCGTGATGGGGTGTCCACCTTGGTTTTGGCAGGTTTGTGACTGTGCCCAGGTTGAGAGGGGCTGGATGGACCATAGGGAACATCTCTCACCGCTTCCAGAGGCCCAGCTGCAGGAGATGGAGCACCAGGAGCCAGCAGCCGGGTGGGTGGCCATCTGCTCTGAACCAGAAGATGCTGAGGAGCTGAGTGGCATAGCCGGGCACCACACAGGCAATGGTCAGCCCAAACCAGCCCAGCTCCCCATGGATGAGGTAGTGGATGATGGTGCAGAGCCCTGGAGAAGAGCAGAGACACATCATGGAGGGATGCCACAGCCATGCACACCCAGCAGC